AGAAGTTCTAGACCAGCCTGGGCAACATGGTGAAACTATCGCTACAAAAAACAAACAAAAAACACAAAAATTAGCCAGGCACGGTGGCATGTGCCTATAGTCCCAGCTACTTGGGAAGCTGAGGCAGGAGAATCACCTGAGCCTGGGGTCGAGGCTGCAGTGAGCTATGATCACGCCACTGCACTGCATCTGGCAACAGAGTGAGACTCTGCCTCAAAAAAAAAAAAAAGCAGGTCTGCATCCCTAGATCAGAAGCCAAACATCAGAAGAGGTTCTGTTTATATATGGGTTTTTGTAACTTTGTTCTTTGTTGTTGTTTTTTTCTTAGACCAAATTCACAGGGCACATTCGTTGGTTCTTTGGAAGACTGCTTCAGCCATTGAGCCATGTCTGCCTGTATCCTCCAGTAAGAAAACCCTGGAAAAAAGGCACCAAGTGGAAGTAAAGAGCAAGGAAGGGGACAGCTGTGAACACTGGTCTCCTCAGTCAACCAAAGGTGTCAGATAACTCAATGGATGGAGCAGGTGGGTGACTTCAGAGAAACCTAGGAGCCTAGCAGTTGGATGAGCTTGTGCTTTCCCAGCACAAAACAAAACAAAACAAAACCACCTAGAAATAAGGATTTAACACCTCTCTTGATGGCACTCCTAGAGAACACCTAATCTCTACATTTAATTTCTGGATTTCCCTAAGAACTCATTCATAGCTTTATAATATCCCTTTTTCTCTGAACACTATTCAGAAACGTGAACCAAGATGCATCTGCCATCTCAACATGGTGCTTACCTTTCTTAAGAATTTTCTTCACTTTCACGTAGTTCCCTTGTTTGACATATTCATGAAGCTGAGCTTCCAGGGAGTCATTTCTTAAGGTACCAAGTTGAACAGGACAGGGGACTGGAAGAGGAACAGCCCGAGACATCCTGTTCCAAATGAGAGCAACATGCTTATTTTAAATGAACCAGAAATGCAAGGAAACAACTTAATTCTTCCACATTTAAAAACCTGTCCAGCTACCTTCATTAATAATGACGATTAGGGGAACAATTACTGAAACTCTGTAAGATTAATGTTTTTCCTCAGTGTTATCGCTGAAATTAAAGAACTTTAATATACCATTGAATATAGGAATAGTGAGAAGAGACAAGTTATATATATACATATATATGAATATATTTGATATGGTTTGGCTCTATCTACCCACCCAAATCTCACCTTGAATTGTAGTTCCCATAATCCCCACACATCATGGGAAGAACCCAGCAGGAGATAATCTAATCATGGAGGCGGTTGCCCTCATGCTGCTCTTGTGACAGTGAGTGAGTTCTCATGAGATCTGAAGGTTTTATAAGGGGCTTTCTCCCCTTTTGCTCAGTACTTCTTCCCGCCATCACGTGAAGAAGGATGTGTTTGCTTCCCCATTTGTCATAATTGTAAGTTTCCTGAGCCCTCCCCAACCCTGCAGAACTGTGAGTCAGTTAAACCTCTTGCCTTTAAAAATGACATAGCCTCAGGTATGTCTTTATCAGCAGCATGAGAACAGACTAATACAATATTTATCACTAACTCCCAGGACTGAAAAAGTGAGGACTTCTAGGAAGTAAAATTCTAAATACACATGTTCATTAGTCATCAAGATAATAGGGGAGTACTGACTTTGAAAGGTTAGAACGCAAATGCAGTCATTATTTAAGTCTACATAGTATAACACGGTGGTTTAGGTTCACAGTTCAGACTCTGAAATTGTCTTGGCTCTGTTACTTCCCTGTGTGACCTTGGAGAAATTATTTAACAGTGATAGGCCTCAATTTCTTCATCTGTAATATGGGCATAATAATAATCAGAGGGTTGCTGAGAGTTTTAAATGAGCTAATTTGTGTACAGTGCTTAGCACAGTACCTGGCACCAAGCAAGTTCTCTATCACTGTTAGCTGTTATCGTGCATGATAAGAACCATGCAGAGAAATTTTACTTACCATATGTGGCAGCCACACCTGACCATCATTCTTAAAATCAAGTGTCTGTGGTATACCTATGGCTATGGTTTGAATGAGTCCTCCAAAATTCATATGTTGAAAACTTCATCCCCAATATGGAGGTGCTGAGAGATAGAACCTTTAAGATGTATTTAGGTCATGGGGCACCACCCTCATGAATAGATTGGTGCTATCATCAATATCAAGGAAGTAGGTTGTTATGGGAGGAATAGGTTCCTTATAAAAGGATGAGTTTGGGAGACGTTTGAGGTTTCTTTCCTTCTCCATTTTCTGCGCCCCTATAATTAAACCTTGTTCTCTGCTCCAACCCTGTGTCTCACTATACTGACTTGCCATGTGGGATTACAACTTAATGGTGATCCCATGAAAAGATGCCCCTTGTGAACATTTAACCATGGCTCAGTGCCCCCTTTGTAACAGTCCAGGTTTCCATCAGCAGTGAGAACAGTCCATTTCCACTAACCCTTTACTATAATTTTGATGAATGTATACATTAAGTGTTAAAGAACTGGAGAAACTGGGGCCTGAGTACAAAGGCTAGAATGCAAAAACAAACCCATTAAGACACCACCTGGGGCCCCGCAAGGTGGCTCACGCCTGTGAACCCAGCACTTTGGGAGGCCAAGATAGGCAGATCATGAGATCAGGAGTATGAGACCAGCCTGACCAACATGGTGAAACCCTGTCTCTACTAAAAATACAAAAATTATCTGGGCGTGGTGGCGGGCGCCTGTAATCCCAGTTACTCAGGAGGCTGAGGCAGGAGAATCACTTGAACCCAGGAGGCAGAAGTTACAGTGAGCCAAGATCGTGCCACTGAACTCCAGCCTGGTGACGGAGTGAAACTCTGTCTCAAAAAAAAAACAAAAACAGACATTACCTGGGCTTTCTCAGACCCTAAAGTCTGATCAAAGAATAGAAGCATTTTTATACATACACCTTGTAACAGGGCCCACTTAAGATTAATAAACTTTCTGGCTGGGCGTGGTGGCTCATGTCTGTGATCTCAGCACTTTGGGAGGACGGGCAAAGGTCAGGCGTTCAAGACCAGCCTGACTAATATGGCAAAACTCCATCTCTACTAAAAATACAAAAATTAGCCAGGTGTGGTGCCGTGCACCTGTTATCACAGTTACTTGGGAGGCTGAGGCAGGAGAATTGCTTGAACCTGGGAGGCGGAGGTTGCAGTGAGCTGAGAGTATGCCATTGCACTGCAGCCTGGGTGATAGAGCAGGATTCCATCTCAAAAATAAACAAGGTTAAGAAACTTGGCAAAACTCTAAAGAAGGCTTTCTAGACCCTAGCCCCTAAAGATTATATATAGATTGAATGAAACACTACGACTTGTAGGTATACTCACACACATAGGCATGAACCTTGAATGTCTATTTTTAAAACTTGTAGCTTTTTTTTTTTTTTTGAGACAGAGTCTCACTCTGTCGCCCAGGCTGGAGTGCAGTGACCTGATCTCAGCTCACTGCAATCTCCACCTCCCAGGTTCAAGCAATTCTCTTGCCTCAGCCTCCCCAGTAGTTGGGATTACAGGTGCCCACCAACATGCCTGCTAATTTTTGTATTTTTAATAGAGATGGAGTTTCACCATGCTGGCCAGGCTGGTCTCGAACTCCTGACATCAGGTGATCTGTGCACCTCGGCCTCCCAAAGTACTGGAATCACAGGTGTGAGCCACTGTGCCTGGCCAATAGACTCCCTTCTTTCCCAGTCTGCATCTCATTATTGAGCCATGAGAACAAGCTGCGGGACCTCATTCTGTCCTGGAACACCCTGACATTTCAGCAGCCCAAGACAAGCCCTCCTTTAAGCCAAGGGCCATCTCTGGCACCTCCCTTGTAGGCAGGGGGATTGCCAACCATAGGCGCATAAGCTGGCTTGCAGCAGAGAAATGGTTTCTGATTCTGGAAGCTGTCTCTGATAATTATTCCCAAGCATAATCTGTACTCCCTTTCCCTTCTCCTGATCTATTTAGCCTCCTCAGAGGCCCTGTAAAGCCTTCAAAGGTCTTATTAACCCTCCCTAACCTATATAAAGGGCCCTGTTTAAGGCAATTTTCCCATGGAAGGAGAATAAAGGGCACTGTTTAGGGGAAATACTCCTGGACCCTTCAGGTCTCATTTCAGAAATCCGGTTTTGGGTGGGCGTGATGGCTCACACCTGTAATCCCAACACTTTGAGAAGCCAAGGTGGGTGGATCACCTGAGGTCAGGAGTTGGAGACCAGCCTGACCAATGTGAAACCCCATCTCTATGAAAATCTAAAAAAATTAGCTGGGCACGGTAGTGGGCACCTGTAGTCCTAGGTACTCAGGAGACTGAGATAGGACAATTGCTTGAACCCAGGCAGTGGAGGTTGCAGTGAGCCGAGATCATGCCATTGCACTCCAGCCCTGGCGACTGAGTGAAACTCCATCTCAAAAAAAAAAAAAAAAATTAGCCAGGGGTGGTGGCAAGCACCTGCAGTCCCAGCTACTCAAGAGGCTGAGGCACGACAATTGCTTGAACCAGGGAGGCGGAGGTTACAGTGAATCAAGATCATGCCATTGCACTCCAGCCTGGGTGACTGAGCAAAACTCTTGTCTCAAAAAAAAAAAAAGGAAAAAAAAGAAATTTGGTTTTATTTACTTATTTTATTTAAAATTTTTTTTGAGGTGGGAGCTTGCTATGTTGCCCAGGCTGATTGATCTTCAACTCCTGGCCTCAAATACTCCTCCTGCCTCAGGCTCCCAAAGTTCTGGGATTATAGGTGTGAGCCACCATGCTGGCCAAATATGGTTTTATTTTTATTTATTTTTTTAAAATAGAGATGAGGTATCACTATGCTGTCCAGGCTGATTTTGAATTCCTAGGTTCAAGTGATCCTCCCACCTCAGCCTCCCAAAAGTGCTGTAATTACAGGCATGAGCCACAACGCTGGGCCTAAATCTCGTTTTAGAATTCTGATTTGTGAAGACTTGTGCCTGTTCTTGTCTCGTGTTTTTGTGTGTGTGTGTCTCGGGGGCGGGGGTGGGGGGGACATGGAATCCTGAAGGAATCACTAGCAGAAGCTCAGCAGCCTCACTCAAGAGGAAACCCTCTTCCCTGTTTTGCCAGGTTAAAACCCAGATATTGAGGGGAGTAACTGGTGTTTGGGTCTTTACCTAATTAAACCTAAAGCAAACATCATTGAAAAGTCGTAAACCAAAAAAAAAGAAAAAAAAACATAAAAAAGAAAAAGAAAGTCATAGGCCAGTTACCAAAACTACAAATACACAGCATTACAATGATACCGCTACCTCATATAGTGCTCTTCAACCTCTACCACAAGGGGAATGCAAAAACACGGCCCAGAATTACAATTACACACCAGACCGCTATATTTGGGAAAAATTTCCAGGAGCTCTACACTCAAACTACACCACAAAATAACCATTTTCATAACAGTGCTTTCCGCAACACGAATGGTGACTGCTACTACCTCAACATCTTTAACACACATCTTAGTCATGGCAAGTTGTATTATATGAGTTAGGCGTTCTGTTCGAAACTACCGCTCCTTTGTATAACACATCTCAGACTACACCTTGTCTGATATTCGCTAGAAAAATTCTCTGTGAGAAGAACGCACTAGAACCGGCAATCACTGCGCCCCTATCTACATATCCCCGCCTCTTATAGTGACGTCACACATACGTCTGGCTGCCCTTACTGCTTTCTCCTCCGGATCCATTCGCTCTAGCTACTGCTCCGATTAAAAAAAATCGCCTTGTGTGATAAGATTTTTTTTTCTTTTTTCTGCACGGGCTTTATTATTATTATTATTTTCAGAGAATTCATACAACCATTAATCATACAGAGCCATTTCTCAGTGCTTTTTTTTTTTTGAGACGGAGTTTCACTTTTGTTGCCCAGGCTGGAGTGGAATGGCGTGATCTCGGCTCACTGCAACCTCCGCCTCCCGGGTTCAAGCAGTTCTCCTGCTTCAGCCTCCCGAGTAGCTGGGATTACAGGCGCCTGCCACCACGCCCGGTAGTTTTGTATTTTTAGTACAAAATACAAAACCCCATTAGATGGCGCTTCACCACCTTGGCCAGCTGGTCTCGAACTCCTGACCTCAGGTGATCCGCCAACCTCAGCCTCCCAAAGTGCTGGAGTTACAGGCAGGAGCCCCGCGCCCGGCCCTCAGTGCCCTTTTCTTTCCACTTAAGAAATTGGGCCCGGCGCGGTGGCGCATGCCTGTAGTCCCAGCTACTCGGGAGGCTGAGGTGAGAGGATCGCTTGAGCCCAGGAGTTCTGGGCTGTAGTGCGCTATTCCGATCGGATGTCCGCACTAAGTTCGGCATCAATATGGTGACCTCCCGGGAACGGGGGACCACCAGGTTGCCTAAGGCGGGGTGAACCGGCCCAGGTCTGAAACGGAGCAGGTCAAAACTCCCGTGCTGATCAGTAGTGGGATTGCACCTGTGAATAGCCACTGCACTCCAGCCTGGGCTGGAGAACAAGAACGAGACCCCATCTCTTTTTAAAATAAAATAAAAAAGAAAAGAAATTGGAACACACCAGGATGAGGATGATGATGCCAAAACTAGATTACTGGCTCACATCATCTAGGGTACAAATACATGCTTAATAATTTAATGCTTTATTGAACTCAAAGCAAGCATGAACATTAAGCATCTTTGCCTTCGTTGTACACAGCTGTAGGGGGAGCCCAGGGGGAGGGGAAGCTACATGGTTTTCCTTGCCCGGGAAGGTGTGCACCCTGCAGTGCTGCTGTGTTGTGGGAAAATTAACCCATGTTCTGTCGGTTGCCATAGCCCCTAGGGTGGGCATCCTTCCAGTCATCCCACTCCCGACCTCCCTGGAGTGTTTGTTTATCATCCTCTTTTTCCTTTTCTTGATCTTTCCGTTGCTGAGTGGCTTTTCCGAATTCTTCTGGTGTTGCCTTGGCTATTCCCTGATTTGGTAACGCTCCATGTTTCCAATGTTGATCATACCAGTCACTCGCTGTCACAGAAGCCAGACTTGGATAACCAGTACCAAATTCTTTGGCTTGCGCCATGTGCCGAGTGAGAATGAAAGGTTTCACTGGAGGCCTCTCCTGGCGAGATGAGTTAGAAGTAGATGCCTCTCTTGAAGAGTCTTTCTCTCCCAGGATCTCTATTTCCTGGTCAATGCTCTCAATCTCTTCTAAGCTGATATCAATCCACCTCCGAAGGTGAAGAAGATAATATTCATGAACTCGCTCATCATCTGCTTGACCACTTTCCACTTCAGATTTCATTGTAGACAACCTATGCTCCAACTCCTTCTTCTTGTATCTCTCTATTTTAGCCTGTCTTTGAGATGCCATAGCAACGGGGCTAGAATAAGCCATGGAGGTAATAGCAGTGTGATTTTCACCTGAGTTGTTCTTGGTTTTGGGCAGCTCAAACTCGGCCACATGATAGTAATGGCACTGAGTTAAGTAGTTTATAAAGTGTTTGCGAGCCTGCTGCAAATGATCTAGACGCTTACTGGGGTTGACTTGTTTCATGGTGAGGGTTCCTTGAAACGCTGGCACCATCAGGTACTTCAGGTCGGTGGAAGTAATCTCCTCCAAATCTTCATTTCGGCTGAACAAGTCAAGCTGCGATAACATTTTGGCAGCCTTCTCATGGAGGTCGAAGCCCTTGGACACCTTCTCCTGGATTATCCCGGAACCGGTGGGTTCAGCTGCTCCTTTGACTTCGTCCAGTAGCTGTTTGCCGGAATCAAACAGCTCAGGGAGCCACAGCGGTGGCAGGAACTCGTCTTCAGCAGCTGTCGTCTTGGGGAGGCTGACGCGAAATGTTGATTCTTTCCCTTTGTGGGTACACGTAAAGATTCTGGAGTAGATTTCTAACAACGGGTCTGAATCAGCGCTGCTGGGCAGGGCAGTCAGGGAGTAGGTGGCGTTAGGGGAAGGCAACTGGGTTGGTTGTGCCAGGTCTGAATTGCTGCTCCACTCTGGGTCTTCATTAAACTCTGTCTCTCTGTTTCCATTTCCTAAAATTGTAAAGTGGGAATAATACTGCCTGCCTCGCTCACAAGATTTCTGTGAGGACTGAATAACAGAATGTGTGTGAAATGCGGCTACCCGCCACCCAGGCTATTCAGCCCCTCCACTGTTGTCCACTGTACTTTGGGACCCCAAACTGACTTAGCCAAGATTCAAGTATCTGCAGTTCCTGCCACACAGGGAAGTAGCATCAGGTCTGGATTTCCTAACAAACAGAGTGCTCTTACATGTGTATATATGATGTACATGTACAGATGTGTATGTATGTGTATAACGTTGACTTTTTGACAGTCACAACTGCTTTATGAACTTATATAATAAAACACCATTTTTATTTATTTTTATTTCATTCATTTAATTATTTATTTTATTTGAGACGGAGTCTCACTCTGTCACCAGGCTGGAGTGCAGTGGCACTATCTTGGCTCGTTGCAAAGAAATACTAACAACTAACTATCTACTGAATATTTACTATGCATCTGGACTTTATGGTTAATCCTCACAACTCTGAGGTAGGAAATGGAATCACTCCCATTTCATGGATAAAGAACCTGAGGCATGACAAAGATTCTTTGCTGGACAGGCATGGTGGCTCACACCTGTAATCCCAGCACTTTAGGAGGCTGAGGCAGGTGGATCACCTGAGGTCAGGAGTTTGAGATCAGCCTGGCCAACATGGTGAAACCCTGTCTCTACTAAAAATTTTAAAAATCAGCAGGGTGTGGTGGTGTGTACCTCTAATCCCAGCTGCTTGGGAGGCTGAGGCAGGAGAATTGCTTGAACCTGGGAGGCGGAGGCTGCAGTGAGCAGAGATTGCACCGCTGCATTCCAGCCTGGGCAACAGAGTAAGACTCTGGCTCAAAAAAAAAAAAAAAAAAGATTCTTTGCTTAGCCAAACTTTGGTCAGGCTTCTGAAACTTCTCATAGGCCAGTATGTGCATGTTCTTGTAAATTCCAATTTTAGTAAAGGAACTCTGCTAAGTCAATTTAGCTGAAACCCCCATTCTCCAAATCTCATCAGGTTCCTCATCCTATACTAACTCCCAAGTGATAGCTGATCACCCCAGCCTGTCTTCAGCAAGAATCCTGTTAGATCAGTTTAGCCAGAATTCCTCTTACCCCTGATGTTTCCTCTTGGTAATTTTCCATCCACTGACCTTCACACTACTCCTTGGGTATAAATTCCCATTTGCCCATGCTGTACTTCAGACTTACGCCTAATCTTTCTCCTCCACTGCAAGACCCGGTTGCAGTGGTCCCTATACCTATCCTGATGGTTCTAAACAAAGTTATCCTTATAGCAAAAAATTGCACCTCTCCCAGCTACCAAAGCCTCTGCTACTGATATTCCTGGAGGAGCTCTAGTAACTATAAACCCCTGCAAATGTGGAAGAAGTAACTGGAGCCTGGGTCCAGTCATGACTATCTACTAAATCATCTCATCCAATGCCCACTGAAGGCTCATGGTGCGCCAGCACAGGGACAAGAACTTCACACACCTTACTCATTTAATCCACTCAACAATTCTACAGAATAGATAATATCTCCATTTTGCAGATGAGAAAACTGAGGCCAAAAGAGGCAGAAATGTGCTCAAGTGGTAGAGGCATTAAAATCCACATGTCCCTGGAGAGCACTTCCATTTTATTTATTTATTTATTTGAGATATAATAGCACTCTGTCGCCCAGGCTGGAGTGCAGTGGCACTGTGTCAGCTCACTGAAACCTCTGTCTCCTGAGTTCAAGCAGTTTTCCTGCCTCAGCCTCCTGAATAGCTGGGATTACAGGTGCCCATCACCACGCCTAGCTAATATTTATTTATTTGTTGACAGAGTCTCACTCTGTTGCCCAGGCTGGAGTGCAATGGCACAATCTCAGCTCACTGCAACCTCCCCTCCCAGGTTCAAGCAATTCTCCTGCCTTAGCCTCCCAAGTAGCTGGGACTACAGGTGCACGCCACCATGCCTGGCTAATTTTTTGTATTCTGAGTAGAGAGGATTTCACCATCTTGGCCAGGCTGGTCTTGAACTCCTGACCTCAGGTGATCCACCTGCCTTGGCCTCCCAAAGTGCTGGGATTAAAGTCCAGATATATAAAAAGTGAGCCCCTGGCCCTTTTTTATTTTTATGCACACACAACTAGGGTGACATCTATAGAAAAACAATCTGGATCACCCAGAAAGCATGTGGCACCCCAGGTGAACTGCTATGTGAGGTAACTGGCCCATGGGCTCCAGTCACCCACTCTAACATCCCACCCAAAGGCCCTCAGGATTGGGGGGTCAGTATGTTACATCACACAGTTTGAGAAGCTGTAGGGTGGAAACTTTCTGACAAGTGATTATCATTTGTTCTGGGTATATGTCAAATTAGAAAAAAAGGCTGAGAACCACTGTTCTAGGCAAGCATGAAAAATGGAACCTGGCAATTATCAACACTGTATGAATGGAGGATTACGGATACATCTGTATTGTGTAAAAAAGGGGGGAGAGATGAGTTTGTCATATTTGCTAAAAATGACCAGAGGATGGCTAAAGAATATAACAAGCCAGCTGCTGGGCGCAGAGGCTCATGCCTATAATCCTAACACTTTGGGAGGTCGAGGTGGGTGGATCACTTGAGGTCAGGAGTTTGAGACCAGCCCGGCCAAGGTGGTAAAACCCTATCTCTACTAAAAATACAAAAATTACCGGTTGTGGTGGCAGGCAACTGTAATCCCAGCTACTCAGGAGGCTGAAGCAGAACTGCCTGAACCTGGGAGGCAGAGGTTGCAGGAAGCTGAGATCACTCCATAGCACTCCAGCCTGGCAACAGAGCAAGACTTCCTCTCAAAAAAAAAAAAAAAAAAAAAAAAGCCAAGCAGCTTGAGAATTGATTGAGGTTTAGCAGGAAGCACCCTCATGTGAATACATGTTAACAAGATGTCAAGAAGGATCATTGGTGCTGCTCTAATCTAATGTTACTCCATTGCCCAAAGCCCTTCAATACCCCTTTACTGCCCTCTGGATAAAACCCCAACTCTTTCCCATGCTCGAGGTTCTGCATGGGCTGGCTCCATAGCCTTTCCAGCCTCCCTGTACTGTCCACCATGCCACAGCCACAGCTACAGGCACAGCCTCCTTCCAGCCTCAGAGCCTTTGCCTGTGTAGTTTCCCTTGCTTAAAATGTTTTTACCCTGCTAAATCTGACTTCTCTTCCCATGCTGAGAACCCTCTGTTATCACAGTAAGAGTTATTTAATTTCTCTTGTAGTTTTTATCACATCTCCAATCCATTCATTATTCCACTGTGTGATTATCAGTCAGTTTCCTGGGCTAGACTACTGACTATCCAAGGACCGGAGAGTTTTCATCTTAGTCACTGCTGGAGTCTCAGGCTAGCAACTTACCTGGCATGGAGGATATCTACACTTACATATCTTTTTATCTACCCATCTATCTATAGGATGTGTGTATGATGATTAGAAAGCAGTCTGAGAACTGTGATAGAAAAGGAGTATGGGAAGCCTGAATAAACTTTGGGAAGATTAAAAAAAAACTTTGGGAAGATAAAAATATGATCAAGGATCTGGCCAGGCGTGTGGCCCATGCCTGTAATCCCATGAGCATGAGGTCTAGGTGGGTGGATCACAAGGTCAGGAGTTCAAGACCAGCCTGACCAATAGACTGAAACCCCCGTCTCTAATCCAAAAAATTAGCTGGGCACAGTGGGACACACCTGTAGTCTCAGCTACTTGGGAGGCTGAGGCAGGAGAATTGCTTCAACCTGGGAGGCAGAGGTTTCAGTGAGCTGAGATCACACCACTACACTCCAGCCTGGATGACAGTGTGAGACTCCATCTCAAAAAAAAAAAGAATATCATCAAGGATCAAGAAACTAAATTTAGTCAGGCGCAGTGGCTCACACCTGTAATTGATTGCAGCACTTTGGGAGGCGGAGACAGGTGGATCACTTGAGGTCAGGAGTTTGAAACCAGCCTGGCCAACATGGAGAAACCCCATCTCTACTAAAAATATGAAAATTAGCCAGGTGTGGTGGCAGGCACCTGTAATCCCAGCTACTCAAAAGGTCAAGGCAAGAGAAACACTTGAACCCAGAAGGCAGAAGTTGCAGTGAGTCAAGATCACGCCACTGCACTGTATGTAGCCTGGGGGACAGAGTGAGAATCCCTCTAAAAAAAAAACGGTGACTATACTTAATATATTCTTGAAAATTCCTGAGAGTGTATTTTAAGCATATTCACCACAATAAAATAAGTACATAAGGTAATGCATATGTTAATTAGCTCCCTGTAGCCATTCCACAATGTATAGATACTTCAAAACAATGTGTACACAATAAATACATTTATATATACCATTACCTTTTCAAATATTGCTTTCACTCCACCCTCTGGAACTCCCATTACATTTTTCTTGACCCTTCTCATTCTAGTCTCCACATCTTTGAACCTTTCTTGCATTTCCCCATCTCTATATTTATTTGAGCTGCATCCTGGGTAATTTTTCAGATATGTATGTCTTCACTAATTCTCCTTGACAATGTCTGCTGTTTAACCCATTCACTAAGATTGTTATTTCAATTATTGTACTTTCATTTTGAGAAATGAATAGACTACAAAGGGTTTTCTTTTGTTTCTGCCTGGTGCCTGGGGACATTACCAAGCCAGGCTAATTCAAAGTAACTTTCTGTGCCAGCCCCTATCATATGCACATATTCGTATGAATTCTGGTCCATTTTGAGGGACTGTGAGTATGAGATAGTGGTGAAGATTTCTGTGCTCCTTCCCATTCTCAAAGTGAGGCTTACATAGACACATATCCCTAACATCTTTCTCTTGGGGAGGGGGCATTCCTCAGAACTGAGGGTGTTCATCTCCTGGGGTTGCCACTTTATAGAATGCGGAGGGACTCTCTAGTCAGACATCCCACCCAGCTCAGGCCCCAGGCTTTGTTTCCTGCCTGTGATCCCAGCCCCAGAGCTTCCGAGGATAGCCAATGTCCTCAGGAAATACACAGGGTCCATCCCTACCTTTCCTTTCTGGATTTGTTTCTTTCTCTGGGTCACTGTGGATTTCTCTTTTTGCTAGATTAGAAATACATTTTAAAAACTTGTTTTCTTGTTCCATTTTCTCAACATTTTACACATTTTAAGCTTTCAAAAGCCTTCCCTGGACCTCAGGTCATCCCTGCCACAGCTCATCCCGCAATTCATCTGATCCTTCAGACTTCCCAGGTCATCTCATTCACGAGGCCTTTAGCCCCCTCTCTCACCTACTTCATGCTGCAGCATAGCATATTTCCTCTATCTCAAAGATCCCCAACGTTTTTGGCACCAGGGATCAGTTTCATGGAAGACAATTCTCAAGTTTTCCACAGATAATAGGGGGGTGGGTGGGAAGGTTTCGGGATGAAACTCTTCCACCTCAGCTGATCAGGCATTAGATTCTCATAGAGTGTGCAGTGTAGATCCCTCGCATGCTCAGTTCACAATAGGGTTTGCACTCCTATGAGAATCTAATGTGGCTGCTGATCTGACAGGAGGCAAAGCTTAGGAGTTAATACCCATTCACCTCCTACTATGTGGCCTAGTTCCTAATAGGCCACCAACTGGTACCATGTGCGGCCCAGGAGGTTAGACTCCCTGCTCTAACTGATCCGAGATCCAACCAGCAGTCATCTCCTCAACTCCCATTTCCCCCGCACTGCTGGAGAAAGAAAGTTGCAGAATCTTTCAGCACTCTTACTCCAGATACTCCAAATTTACGCAAACTGCAACTACATTCTCACTGCTACTTGGCATTCCTTCTTTTTTTTAAGACAAAATCTTGCTCTGTCGCCCAGGCTGCAGTGCAATGGCACAATCTTGGCTCACTGCAACCTCCGCCTCCCAGGTTCAAGCGATTCTCCTGCCTCAGCCTCCCCAGTAGCTGGGATTACAGGGGTGCACCACCACACCCAGCTAATTTTTGTATTTTTAGCAGAGACGGGGTTTCTCACTGTTGGCCAGCCTGGTCTTGAACTCCTGACCTAAAGTGATCCACCCGCTTCAGTCTCCTAAAGTGCTAATTTATAGGCGTGAGCCACCACACCCGGCCGGCATTCCTTTTATGCATATCTTTTTTTAAAATTTATTTTACCCAGCTGTTTCAAACATTCTCCACAATTGAGTGGTTCTCCATGACAGCTGAAACATTCCCAAAGGGAAATTCTGAAAATCTGTGCGGATGTTTTTGTTTCCTTGTGTAGTCATGCCAAGCCCTGTGCTCAGGGTATCTTTCCTGCCAGGTAAGTGAAAGATATGGTTGTTGCCTGACATCTCACTCTCAGATTCAAAACACTCTTCATATAGGGTCACTCTCCTTGCACAAGGTCTAGCCTACCACTTAAAAGATAAAGACTTTTCCAAAGTTTAAGAGCCAGAAATGGCTGGGCATGGTGACTCATGCTTGTAATCCCAGCATTTTAGAAGGCCAAAGCGGAAGGACCATAAGGTCAGGAGTTTGAGACCAGCCTGGCCAACACAATGAAACCCCCTCTCTACTAAAAATATAAAAATTAGCCAGGTGTGGTGGTATGCACCTGTAGTCCCAGCTACTCAGGAGGCTGAGGCAGGAGAATCACTTGAACGTGGGGGGCAGAGGTTGCAGTGAGCTGAGACCACTGGGTGACAGAGTAAAACTCCGTCTCAAAAAAAAAAAAAAAAAGCCAGAAACAACACTGTGGACCCAGAATATTTACAATATCCTAAGAAATGTATGGACAATGTGAATGAGACTAGAAGACACTGTGCTTATCTACATACTCCAAGCCTCTTTTGGTGACATAAAAAGCTCCCAATGAGCCGAGTTTGGTGGCTCACACCTGTAATCCCAGCACTTTGGGAGGCCAAGCTGGCGGATCGCTTGAGATCAGCATGTTAAAACCCCGTCTCTACTAAAAATACAAAAATTAGCCTAGGATGGTGGCGCACGTCTGTAATCCCAGCTGCTCGGGAGGCCAAGGCAGGAGAATCACTTCAACCCAGGAGGTGGAGGTTGCAGTGAGCCAAGATCGAGCCATTGCACTCCAGCCTGGGCAACAAGAGGGAAACTCCATCTCAAAAAAAAAAAAAAAAAAAGGCTCCTGACAAATCTGAGGCTTTTGTAGTGGTGGTGGTAGAATAAGGCAGAATAATGGCCCACCAAAAATGTCCTCATCTTAATTCCTGGAACCTGTAACATTTTCCATTATAAAGGGAAGTTTTTAGATGGGATTGATTTAAGATGAAAAGCTTATCCAGATGAACCTTATGTAATCACAGTGTTCTTAAAATGAAGGACACTGGAGCCGGGTGCGGTGGCTCACACCTGTAATCTCAGCACTTTTGGAGGCTGTGGCAGGTGGATCACCTGAGGTCAGGAGTGCAAGACCACTCTACATGGTGAAACCCCATCTCTATTAAAAATACAAAAATTAGCCAGGCATGGCAGTGCATGTCTATAATCCCAGCTACTCGGAAGGCTGAGGCAGGAGAATCCCTTGAACCTGTGAGGCTGAGGTTGCAGTGAGCCAATAACGCCATTGCACTCCAGCGTGGGCTGCAAGAGCAAAATTCCATCTCCAAAAAAAAAAAAAAGGACTCTAGAGATCCACAAAAAGATACAAAGACAGAAGAAAAGTCAGAAGATGCTGCTAAATTGCTAGCTTGGAAAATGAAAGGGCTACAAGCAAGGAAAGTGTGAGAGTTAGCATTCCTTTAGAGCCTCCTGAGAAATTTAACTGAAGACTTCTGATTGTAACAGCAAATCACTGTAGTACCCAATTATAGCACCAACCAACAAGTTAAGTGGGGTGGGACCAGAAATATGTGCGAAGGAGAAAATGACTGTTCAGAAATATAAACCTCTGGATACTCCAAAACAGGAGATTGTGGTGGAAAACACAAGATGCAATGTCTTTTCTTGCTCTGTCACCCAGGCTGGAGTGCACCATACCCACCCAATTGCTGTATCTCTAGTAGGGTTCAAGCAGGTTTTAAACTGCTGACTTCACAAGGGTACCAAAA